GGTGAGTGTGAGGTGAAACTATTGTACATGCAGCAGTAGGGAATTCAAAAAAAAAGGGGTAGAAAGCACATCTGTCTTCCACACCCTTGCTTCCCCGTGTTATCCCGTCTCTTACTAAATCAGGCGCCGTCCGAAACGCGACGGCGTGTGAGAGGCATGAGGGAGGAGGTGGTTCGGTGGAATGGCTCCCATGTTTCAAGTCAGGTTTCTTAGCAAAGGGTTTTCCTGAATACCAGTCAAGGCTGGATCTAGTGTCATCCTCACATAATCACACAAAATTCCATGGAATAAATCTCCCTCAATTGTATTTTTAACCCTTGTGCAGCAAAGTTGGAATATTTTTGCAAAATTTTGAGAGTGTAAAAATTTTGCTTTTGTACCAAGGTGTAAGTTGGGGAAAAGTCCGATGCAGCATTTTTATTTCTAATCCTGAAAAATAAAAGTTTGCCTGAAAAATTAAAAATTACTCACTCTGGGGAATTTTTTCTGCAATCTTTAGGTAGGATTAGTATTGGATATTTCCCAAGAGTACCAAGACAATAGGATATTGACTGTAGTTACACAAGTACCCACATGAACCTTTTTTCTCCAAATTGAGAGGGTGCATAAAGGGGGGTTAATTTCATGTATAAATGCGTATGAAACAAGTTTTAAAAGCTTATCTGTGCAATATATTTGATTCTAATTGACATTTTTGGCCAATTTCAATCGAAAAATTTACTGTATTATTGTAATTGAAAATCTGAGTCAAAATTTGGGTGCTATTATTTTTGTACATTTGCAGTTTTATAATCAGTGAAATGGGGTCTGAGTCTTACTTGGGGATAGAATGTATGCAAAAAATTTGACTGAAAAACTCTGGGTGCATGTATTTTCTGAGGGTGTTCGCTGCCACTGCTACTTGAATAAATGTGGTATTCTCCACCGGGATTTTTTCCAACCCATTAGCATTAATTTCCGTGACCGGAGGTCAAACTGAAATATGCATCCCTTTTGAAAAGTCTCAACTCCACTGCAATACTGAACGGCTCTATCTACTGTCCAAGGGTTAGGAACACCCCACCCCCAGTTTGTGCCAACTTACTTAGTGCCACAAAAATGCCATGTCCTGGATGAACAATCAGCCAAAGCTAAAAACATAAAGACATTTCATTTCTGTGCCACAAAATGTGCCTCAACAAATGATGGCAATCAATTAAGGTTTGACTGCAGTAGTTTGCCAGTCCAGGACTATATCACTCAACTAAACTGCAAAGTATTCACGCAGTTGTTCTGTATTGGCGATAAATGCACTGTGGAAGGGAACACACACAAAAGGGATTGCCTTAGCTCAGCTCACTGAAATATGAGTAAACCGCCAGTTAGCTTGATACTCTCCTTGCGGAGCCCGGTACCAGTTTTGCACCGGAATTCGTTGTCTCTTAAGAGCCATTGAAAATGAACCTGATGCAATCCGTTTGAAACTTTGAAACTGATGATGTAAAGTTCGGGAGAACTTACGGTTTGGAATCTACGACTCGAACAATTTCCGTGTGACGACCACGATGATGCAATGAATACCGAGTTTTGCGAATAAGTTCCCAGTTGACTCTGGATCCATCACAGGAGCTCTTTGAATTTAAAATGTATTCTCATCATCAATAATTATTCTTGAAATATCCGAGATGCGTTAATTCTTCAACGAATAAAATATCTCCGGTCCGGTGAAAGTAATTTTCAGGATGATTGATGAAAGGAATTATTGAATGGGAAAAATATGTTTGTCTTTCAAAAAACTACGAACAAAAATATCAACCACGTTAGACGTTCCTGAGGATTTCGAATTATGCTATAAAAAAAATTTTTTACTGTACTGTATGCAGTAAAATATTTCGAATCATATACAGTATATTGACCGAGTGTCTTTGTTCGGTGCTCGAATCAAATATTTTTAGATATAAATTCAGAAGAAAGCACTATGTTTTAACGCTCGAAATTTTGTCTTCATATTTTTTTAAATCTTGAGGAGCGTTAGCCCTGTACACTGTACAGTGATCAAACTGAGAAAATAAAAAAGCACTCATTGATGTGAAGAAGCCTCTTTATATTCTTCTCAATGACCTAGAAATAAGGACTGATAAACGGAGAGCGGGATGAGTTGAAGCCAGGATATTCGAAATTTTTATTTCTTCATTGGGGGTCCACATGTCAAATGTTTTCATCTTTTCATAGACCTTCAGTTCACATTAAAAAAAATTTTGCTCTGCAGTATTTTTTGAACAGGAGAACTTTGTTATTGAATTTTATCAAATTCAGAAAAATTGTTCATTTCTTCATTGAAAGTCCACTTGTTGAATGTTTTTATCTTTTAATAGACCTTCAGTTCACAATAAAAAAATATTTTGCTCTGCAGCATTTTTTTTTCCAACAGGAGAACTTTGTTATTGAATTTAATCAAATTCAGCAAGAACACAAATTTTCAAGTTGCTCGATTTCTGAGGAACTTGTAATCGCTGTCTGGTATCAAGGTACTGTTTCAGAGTTTTCGGTTCTCCTTGCGGGAAGCAAGGAGAACAGAAATCCACTTGACTTATCTCAGTCAAGTTCAACGACACTATCTAGAATTTTCTCGCAGCTCGCTGAGCCAG